TGTATGATCTTTCAGACTTCGTCCTCTCAGACCTGGAGCGATGAGTTCTGGAAGACCATGATTGAGTATCGCCTGTCCTAAGGCTTCTACTCTCTCCTTGTGAGGGTGTAGTATTCCTACTACGATTTTCTGAGTGGCGAGGGGGCATCTTGTTTTTGCGCCCCTCTCCTGTTGCCACTTCTTTTTTCTTCATCTGGCGTTTCAAGGCCTCCATGTCTGCCGCCATCTTTCTTATCAATTCATCTTGCTCTTTCACGCGGTCTTCCAGAGCTTGAGGGTTAATCCTCCGTCTTTGCCTGTCAGGACTTTGTGAACGAGAGCGACGGGGGCTGTTATTTCGCCTTCCCCTAGCATCCCTTCTAGAGTTATGTCGTTGGGGCTCCAAGTCAGCCATGGGAGGGATAGAGGGTAATCCTTCTCGCCTTGCGCCTCCTTCTGGAGTTAGTCCGTCGACGGCGGACTGCGGCAATTCTTCAATGTGTGCCATTGATCGTAAAGGGGAGAAGCTTTAGTCAAGAGGTTTCGTTCTGTCTGTACTTCCCACAGACGGCGCCAATTGTACGGGGAAGAAATAATTCTCCTCGTATAATCCTGTTGACTAGGTCCACGCTCCTCCGTACGACGTTGCTTTGTCACCTGAAAACACAAACGTGAGCTAGTCGGCGGGTGTGCGCCGAAAACCTCTCCGATGCCTAAGTCAGAAAACTTGACAAATAGGCAAAGCTCAATGTATTCAGGAAGCAAAATTATATGTTGTGTTATGTTACCTCCTCCAAGGTGATGCTTGTGAGCTTTTATAGGTTTTGAGTGGCACAATCCTAGTAGGACTTTTATTTCTCCATGCAGAGTCCTCCTCGGATTCATACTCCTAAAGGATAATGCTTATCCTTTTACACCCCCCACTGCTTAAACCAAGTGGGATGGTTTTCACCATGGCCGAACTACCATTTGACCGAAGTAAAATTGGCTATGCTGAGCCACAGAGTAGGCCGAACTATCCTTAGTTCGGTTCTCCCTTTACTCCTCCTTACCTCGGTTCTCTCTTGTTCAACCCATGGTATGTTCGGACCGAACCAACGATTCGCGACCGGTATAATTCCAAGACCGGTATAACGCTAAGACCGGTATAACTCCAAGACCGGTCTAACTTTCAAGTTGCTTCCTGACCGAAGTAGCTTTACAATTCCTGAGCATAAGTAACTTCCTCTCTTTTGACCGAAGTAATCTTTATCTCTCTCGGGCCGGAGTAACTTCTCGGCCCTTTTTACCCAGTCCGTCATATTTTGGGCCATAAAGTCCATCTCATAGCTCGGCCTAACTTTCACCATAAATTGATGACATGTGAATAAATAACCAAAGATAAGATAGTCTTTTAAATTATTTTTGTAGGTATAGCTCAAAAAGAATAATTTCGATCATATGTAATAGATAGATTGTAATGCACCAAAATCACATTGTTTAGTGTAACAAAAAAAAAATAGGAAGGCAAGCTCCAATACCTCCCCGTTCCAACCAACCCACTATTTCCTTTTCTTCTTTCTTTTTTTCTTTTTCTTCTTTTCCATTCTCATCTTCAGTGGCAAAATGGAGGAAGAATAAGAAGAAGAAAGAAGAGAATGGAGATCTATACTTGATTGATTCTGTTTGCGATGGCTCCAGTGCTAAGAATCAAGACATTCGATTCGGCTCCCAAACCTCTGCTATTTACTTTTTCTCTGTAAACAATATGTTTCTCTCTCTAAAAAAAAGAATAAGTCTGTTTAGTTTCAGTTTTTTGAATTAAATTTTTTGAAATTTTTCCCATTTTTTTGTTTTTAGTGAATATTTTTAATATTTTAAGTAATTTTTTTTACTTTTTTAGATGTACCTTACTTAGATATATCTAAGTAGTAAAATATTTGTGACAAAATATTTTTAAAAATTAATAAATACACAAAAATATGAAAAATGTACTGAATTTTTATATTTTTTATATTTTTTGGTATTTAGTGTATTTTTAAAAAAAATTGACAAATATTATACTTTTTAAGAGTATTTATGTTAAGTGTCTAAAAATTTTTAAAAAAATTACTTAAAATATTATAAAATTCATTAAAAATATTAAAATATAAAAAATAAAATAATAAAATTTTTTACAAATTATTTTATGAAAATCAGAACCAAAGAAGTTGAAGGTGGGTGACAAAGAGGGGCTGGGAAAATAGTGCTCAAAACTAATTATAGGTAGGCAAACAGGGCGGGGAAGTTGCTAGATCCTCTACTTTTTCTCTTTGTTGTTTATTTTTTGAAGATTTTTATTTATATATAAAATTCTACCAGAATGATATAATAATACCATTATTATAAATAAATACATATTTAATAGTATTTTATTTTGAAGTAAATGGTTCACAATGAGTCATATCATTATATGTAAAAAAATTTATTTATATAATATTATTTTTATTTTTTTATGACACCAAAATGACATTGTTTTGATGCACTACAGATGGTTCAAGAGTTTAAGACTATTGCCTAAACAGTTTCAAAATTAGACCATTGCCTCTAATGTCCTAAAAACAATTACAATTAGCTACATTGAATACAATTTTCACTTATTTGTAATTAATTTTCTCAATTTCTTATATTTATATACTATTTTTTACAATAAGAAAAATATAAAAAAATAAAATCCAATTTGAATTTTTTTGTTGGTTAACTTTTATTTTCTTTAAACAATAAATTTTTTTATTTCATGTTTGAAAAAATTAGCCTAACGTCCTTTTTTCATTTTTAATAATGACGGAGGCCCATAATATTATTTTATGACGTATCAAGTTCCTCGACCCCCGACACCCATCTTTTCAAATCAAATTGTCTCTCCATCTTTTCCTCTCTCTTTGCTTTTCTGTCTCTCACAAACTCCATCTCTGTCGCCGAAGTTCATTATCATTGTCGTTTTCTCCAATTCTCTCTCTTTCGTCAAGCGAAGCTCAAAGCATTCTTATCCATGGACGATTTCACCGAATCACGAAGATATTGCCACCTCCGCCAACAGAAACTCTCTCTCAAAAAACCCTACTGGAGCTGTTATTACCATTGCCTCTGTTGGTCCCTTGTCCTTCTATAAATACACACATGCCCTAGAATATATATATATAAGCTCGATTCTTCATCTATCACTGTCCAAGTAGCTCAACAGTTCGTTGGCATCAACATTGTCATGTACTACAGCCCCACCATTGTACAGTTCATTGGATTCGCTTCCAACAAGACCACTATAGCGCTGTCTCTCATCACATCGGGTCTCAACGCTGTAGGGTCTATCGTCAGCATGTGTTTTGTGGATAGGTATGGAAGAAGGAGGCTGATGATTATATGTTCGGTATTATTTCTTGCCTTCTGGTATTGTCTGGTGTCTTTTACCAAGCTTTTGTCAATGCTTTGAAGATCAACAAAGCTGAATCCATCGCCTTTGGAAACTCTACCTCTGCGAGCTATCTAACTGCTCCGGATACGGGGTCTTGGAATTGCATGACTTACTTGAGAGCTGAATTGGAATATGGATTCTGTTCAAATGGTGCTAACCCAATAAGTTTTTTTTTTTTTTTTTTCTCCCAGTAAATTTGCACCAGAGAAATTTGTGCAAACTAGATAAATTTCAATTTGGAGACCACTACTGAGATTATTATGGTGGTAAAAGCATATCATTTGTGCAAGCGAAGCTCAAAGCATATCATTCATGAAGATTGTCAACTAATTACCCCTTTTTTTCTTTTTCTTTTTTTTGAATTGTTATGATACCCTTCAGGTCCACCAAGAGATTTGGCCCACCTAGATATATGTGTTAATGTAAATTGTGTAAATGTAAATTACCACTACCACCCACTCCACCTACCATCTCCACTACCACCCACTCCACCTACCACCTCCACTACACTACACCTACTACCACCTTTTCTTCTATATATAGGAGTTGTAATACATAACAACATACAAATCAATCAATAATACATATACATGAATTTTAACATGGTATCAGAGCAAGGTTAGCTCTTGGTGATCTTCACCTTCCGGCGAGCGGCAACCTTGCCTTCACCGCCCGCCGGACCCCAACCATGCTTATTGAAATCGTGCGACTCCGTCTCCGCCCGCATCTCCGCCCTCCTCTACCTCTCCCTCGCCTGCCACCCCAGACTCTTCATCGCCGACCTATCCCTTGGGGCTTCCCTCTGCCTTCAGGGACTCTCGGTGCTTCAGGCCGGCCTCTCTCTCTCCACGTCGATGCCTACACGACCATACCGTGTCTCCTATCCTGTTTTATTTTATTTATCAGTTTATTTTTCTGTTTTGTTACTCTCTCCAAACTCAAGTTGGCTAATGCCTATCCTCCTTGAGTTTGAGGGGGGCTGTTAATGTAAATTGTGTAAATGTAAATTACCACTACCACCCACTCCACCTACCATCTCCACTACCACCCACTCCACCTACCACCTCCACTACACTACACCTACTACTACCTTTTCTTCTATATATAGGAGTTGTAATACATAACAACATACAAATCAATCAATAATACATATACATAAATTTTAACAATATGAATGTATTGATGTAAATATTAGAGTATGAATCTCTGATTAGAGTGCTTGATATATATTGCTATGGAATCTCTTAATATAGTTAACCCATGAACCAAACAAAATACAAAGAAAATGGAAATTTCAGTGATATGAAAACCAACCTGATTGGTTTTACCTTTCTTGCCCATTCATTTGTAACATTCTGCATAAAAGCATTTAGTTATATGTCACAGGCTAAATTTATAGCACAGTTTAACCAGCCTTTGAGGGAAAGTTTTTTACCTTTAGCTGCCCCAAACCGGATGAGACATTAACAATTCTTGCAGAACTAGAGAGTTGAAGAAGTGGAATGAGAGCTTGAGATAGCTGTTTAGGTCCGTAGTAATTTGTTCGTAAACACCCTTCTGCTGTTTCATAGGTTTGTTTTATAACCTTTTTCGCCATTTCAACTTTGTTTTATAACCTTTTTCGCTATTTCAACCGTCTCACCTACAATATATATCATTTTTAGAAGATTAAAATCCTTGATGTATGCAATAAGCATACATTTTTTTTGTTGAAACCCAGAATCTGGTAAAAGACTTACCTCTCCAGACTTAAGCTTTAAACTAGTAAAAGACTCCACATCCATTATGACTCCACTGACCCCTGCGTTGTTCACCTGCCAAGAATTTACATCCATACATGTTAGTGAACAATTACCCATTAGATAGCTATAGATAAAATTAGTTTCAATCAATTTAGTTTGTTTCCAATCTTACCAATATGTTGAACTTTCCGAATTTATTTTTGATGTAATCTGCTAAAGATAACATTCAAAGGCCCAATTCTGGGTTCTTCTCACAATTCTTTGTCTGCTTCGACTTCATATTCTTCTATCCAAGTCCAATCTGGTAATTTCATTAATTACCCACTTTCATACTTGTATTTTTGAACTTGATCATGATACCAATTTGCCTATATATATGTCTGTTTTGTGATAGACTGTTAAAAAATAGCAAAAGTTCAAATTTTTCCTCTTTAATTACTAGCTAAATAGCTCAACAAAGTTGGTCAGAATCATTATTTTTTTCTTGCCTTCAAACTGTTTGATAAAATGTCTCTTAGGAAGTACTCAGTGTAAAACACCCTTTTGGACTCGTCCCCTATTTGGGATGGAGGACAAAGTCAAAGTTAAATAATTCTAATAATACAATTGATTACTAAGCAAAGCACATAACCACATACTTGGATTTTCCTGAATAGGCAATAAACAATAACAATATTGAGCCCTTACTTTTTGGTCCTTGACAGAAAATGATGAGTTTAATCCCCATATAGTAATAAGGAATCTGAAAAGGACTTGTTAATGAAATTGACTAACTGGTCAAATGAAGTTTATAAAATTCAGTAAAGTACATGGAGGTCAATAGATTAAAAGTAATAATGAGTTTATCATGAAAGATAAAAGAAAGCAATATATAAAACAAAAAGAAAAGCTGTGTTTTTTCTTCTATGCAAGTCAATAATTCATAGAAGATGGAAGGTGTACTAGCTCTTTTCAAGCGGCCATCATCATTGAAGCACTTGGAATAGTTTGCGAGAGGGTTTATTGCTTCAGTCTCACTGCTATGTCCTTTTGGTTAGGATTCCACTTGCAAGTAGTTCCTGATACCATGCATTTAGTATTGCTAGTATATGTCTTATTATTTAAGTAATATTTGTTATCTGCATTCAAACTTGTTATGCTATTATATATCTACAGTGCCTAAAAGGAACAGATGTTATTTGTATGTTGTTTTAAAAACTTGTTGTAGTGATTCTTGCAATATTAGTGGAGCTAATGATCCTAGTGGTTTGATCATGTAGATACAGTTACTCTCGAATATAATGAGTGGAAAGATTATCTTACAGTTGTACCATTTGTGGTAACTGTTGTAGCATCTGTGTCTTTGATTTCTATAACTTCTAAGTTGATCCATGCAACTTCAGGATCCTCAGCCCACACGTGTGATCCGACTATGATGTTTACAGTAGTTCCCTGGATCGTTGAAGAATCACAGAAAAGGTAATGTGACCATTGTTTTACAGAGAATAGATTGATCGAGTTACTTGAAAATGAAGAAGATGAACCATGAAAGCTTACAATGATTGTGATTCTTCTATGTGATCATCTAATGCAGAATGGCAATGCAGAGAAGCCAATGGATTTTTGTTGTCTAGAGAGAGAATGGCAGTGCTAGTAAGGAATGATGGAGTGAAGATTTGCCGGAAATAAAAATTAGACAGAATGTTGAAAAGAAGAGGAAATTCTGGTGGTGGTAACTCAAAAGAAAAAAAGGCAGAGATGCTGACTTGGCACCTTTTTTTTGGCTCATTCGACACAGGATGCTAACTTGCCACCAAAAGAAGCATGCCAGTTGTGTGTAGGCAACACAGGGAATTCATGTGCAATTGATGCATGGGATAGTTTTTATGTTAATGCTTATTGTTGTAACCATCTGATGAGTGGACGCTTTGCTTCGCCAATGTTAAAGGGCTTTATGTTCCTAATTATGGTTGTGCATTGCTAATGCCAAGCAGTGGGGATTACTAGCTGTCATTGGAGTGGTTATAAAATTATGAAAGTGTCTTATTACTTAAATAATTTGACATTAAGTTATTCCTTTTTGGATGGTTGGAAGTTAAATGGATGTAAATTTTGAAATGATTGATAATATATGTATTGTTTTGTTTATATACATGGTATAGGTTGCACGGAATACATACAGGTTATGGACAAATTAAAAAAAATAATATCATGTTTTTGGCCACTAAATAATTGGTAGCCAAAAAAGATAGTAAATATTTTTAGTGACTAAATAGTTAGTGGTTAAAAAAAATAAAATGAATAAAAAAACTTTTGGTGACTAAAATTTTAGTAGCCAAATAAAAATAGACTTTTGGCGACTAAATGTTTCAGTCACTGAAAATGCAATATAATTTTTTTTTGAAAGCTTTTAGCGACTAAAAGATTGGTCACCAATTTAGCCTATCAATGACTAAAGTTTTTTTGGTCGCCAATACCTTTACTTTTGGCGACTACTTGTTTAGTTGCTAATTTAGGATTTTTGGCGGCTAAAATTTTTTTAGTCGCCAATACCTTCGCCGACCGTCTTTCCGCGACCAAGTTGGCGACCAAACTATTTAGTCGGGAAAACCTTTTGGCGACTAAAAATTTATTCACCAAAAGTGTAATTTCTTGTAGTGCATATGGACCAACTCCTCCACAATCTTTACTTGTCCAACTAAGGCTGCAATGTGGAGGGTTGTCTCGCAGTAGGATGAAATTTTGGCACGTGCATTAGGGTGTAGCTCAAGAAAGTGCTTAATCTGCCCCCAATCACCCTTACGCACCAACTTGAATAAAATCATCAGATACATTTCATCCTCAGTATCTGCAAAAGGATTTCTTTTTTGTATTTATTTATTGTCTTTGATTTTGTGGTTGTTGTAGGATCATTATGAAATTTGAAAAGCACATGTTGACATCTTGGTTTATATTCTCAGAAGAAGATGTCATCTTGGTTAAATTTAATTGTAAGCTTTTGGCGACTAAAAAATTAGTCACCAATTTAGCCTTTCAGCGACTAAAGTTTTTGTTTTGTCGCCAATACTTTTTACTTTTGGCGACTACTTGTTTAGTAGCACTCAGAATAGTTTGCGAGAGGGTTTATTGCTTCAGTCTCACTGCTATGTCCTTTTGGTTAGGATTCTACTTGCAAGTAGTTCCTGATACCATGCCTTTAGTATTGCTAGTATATGTCTTATTATTTAAGTAATATTTGTTATCTGCATTCAAACTTGTTATGCTATTATATATCTACAGTGCCTAAAAGGAACAGATGTTATTTGTATGTTGTTTTAAAAACTTGTTGTAGTGATTCTTGCAATATTAGTGGAGCTAATGATCCTAGTGGTTTGATCATGTAGATACAGTTGCTCTCGAATATAATGAGTGGAAAGATTATCTTACAGTTCTCCCATTTGTGGTAACTGTTGTAGCATCTGTGTCTTTGATTTCTATAACTTCTAAGTTGATCCACGCAACTTCAGGATCCTCAGCCCACACGTGTGATTCGACTATGATGTTTACAGTAGTTCCCTGGATCGTTGAAGAATCACAAAAAAGGTAATGTGACCATTGTTTTATAGAGAATAGATTGATCGAGTTACTTGAAAATGAAGAAGATGAACCATGAAAGCTTACCATGATTGTGATTCTCCTATGTGATCATCTAATGCAGAATGGCAATGTAGAGAAGCTAATGGATTTTTGTTGTCTAGAGAGAAAATGGCAGTGCTAGTAAAGAATGATGGAGTGAAGATTTGCCGGAAATAAAAATTAGACAGAATGTTGAAAAGAATAAGAAATCCCGGTGGTGGTAACTCAAAAGAAAAAAAGGCAGAGATGCTGACTTGGCACCTTTTTTTTTGGCTCATTCGACACAGGATGCTAACTTGCCACCAAAAGAAGCATGCCAGTTGTGTGTAGGCAACAAAGAGAATTCATGTGCAGTTGATGCAAGAGATAGTTTTTATGTTAATGCTTATTGTTGCAGCCATCTGATGAGTGGACCTTTTGCTTTGCCAATGTTGAAGGCCTTTGGGTTCCTAATTATGGTTGTGCATTGCTAATGCCAAGCAGTGGGGATTACTAGCTGTCATTGGAGTGGTTATAAAATTATGAAAGTGTCTTATTACTTAAATAATTTGACATTAAGTTATTCCTTTTTGGATGGTTGGAAGTTAAATGGATGTAAATTTCGAAATGATTGATAATATATGTATTATTTTGTTTATATACATGGTATAGGTTGCACGAAATACATACAGGTTATGGACAAATTAAAAAAAATAATATCATGTTTTTGGCCACTAAATAATTGGTAGCCAAAAAAGATAGTAAATATTTTTAGTGACTAAATAGTTAGTGGTTAAAAAAAATAAAATGAATAAAAAAACTTTTGGTGACTAAAATTTTAGTAGCCAAATAAAAATAGACTTTTGGCGACTAAATGTTTCAGTCACTGAAAATGCAATATAATTTTTTTTTGAAAGCTTTTAGCGACTAAAAGATTGGTCACCAATTTAGCCTATCAATGACTAAAGTTTTTTTGTCGCCAATACCTTTACTTTTGGCAACTACTTGTTTAGTCGCCAATTTAAGACTTTCGGCTACTAAAATTTTTTTAGTCGTCAATACCTTCACCGATCGTCTTTCTGTGACCAAGTTGGCAACCAAACTATTTAGTCGGAAAAACCTTTTGGCAACTAAAAATATGACTTTTGGTGACTAAAAATTTAGTCGCCAAAAGTGCAATTTCTTATAGTGTGCTAGCTAATGGATTTGGATTTATTTCTCAAATCTGACTCAATAGTTTAATTATTGTGGAGTTAAATGTTGTGCATAAGAAAATTGATAAGACCACTTGTTTAGCCTAGAGTTAAAAACACATTAATTAAAGTACAAAAATTAGAAGCCTAACAAATAGTTATATGGTGAACTAAAGTAGTTGACTATGGAACAAAATATTTATTGTACAAAGTTGACCCAATTCTTTGTGTTTGTGTGTGTGGAAAATGTGAAATTGGTGGATCTGAGAGTTGAGGCGAAAATCTAGTGAATCGAAAATTAGTTCTCTGTTTTTATCTCATGTTGATTTATTCTGTTAATGTTTCTTAGTTCACAAAGGTTCAATTATTACATTTGACCTGAATTTTAACAGCCAATATTCTTGTTGAGAAACAACTACAAATCAATGTGGCATAGAAGTCACTGTTGTTCGTCAAATGGAACTCATTCTGAGTCTCAATTTGATAATTTGAATTATTTACTTTTCAGAGTACACTGAGTAAATTATACTTGCAAAAAATCAAATTGACTGGATATCAAAAATATTTTTATCAAATCACATTTGTATCTTTAAGAAAATTACAGGTAAGTATGATTTTAAATATAAAACTTAATTCAAATATTATTTGATAAAAAGGCTAATGATATCCAATCAACTTAATTTTTTTAGGTACATACTACTCAATGTACTCTAGAAATGAATGATTTAAATCACCAAAATAAGACCTGAAATAAGCCAAATTGAATGCGTAATAGTTACTGCTGTGCACAAGATACAATCACCACCCTTCATAAGCATGAGAGTAGAGGACTACCTAACAATATAAGTTAAATGTGTTAATGTGAACACTTATTATGTCCTAAGTTAAATAATACTATTTATTTAAGTGTAGTAAAGAACAACGACCAAAATCTTTAAAAATATCTCAATCAATTCTCTTTCATGTCACATTTGAAACAAAGGTGTTCTAGCAATTAATCAATGACAATATTATTTTCACTAATTAAATTTTTATTGAGGTTTGGTTAACAATTATGATTAATGAGGGCTTATACATAGTAATATTTGTGTGAAATGAAAAGGGAATTGTTAATTCACACTCTATTCCTTGTTATTCAAAAAAACCTTATCATATATGGTTGTGGGGCAATGGTTACCTAGCTTTGTCATCTCCTCTGCAAATGAATTTTGGTGGTATAACAACTAAGATTTATAAATTAAAAAAAAATGTCATTTGTTGAATTCTTATTATATCTCATTATTCGCGGAAGTAAAAAAAGAACAAACGAATATAAAGACGGTCCCAAAAGCTCTGTAACATTTGACACCTAAAAGTTTGGTAACCTAAGGAATCAAGTCTCATTAACTCATTGTAAATTCTTGTGTCTTTACATTTAACTTGTGTTACAGGAGCAGCTTTCTCAAAACTAAACAAAAACAACACTTACCCTTCTTTTACTTACATACCAATTCAATATTCATCTTCAAAATCAGATCCAACCAATAGAGGAAGAGGTGGGAGGAAAAAATGATAAGACAAATAGGAAAATGATGGTTTATTAAATTAAAACAAGAGAAGAAATAATGCAAATAGAGTGACTTAAATCCAAGACTTCCCCAACATAGACTCTAATATTATGTTAGATGACTACTTATTTAAAATATTTAAATTGTTAGAAAATGAGAAAAACAATACATATCAAGCTATCTACCACTTAAAGCTGAAATTATATTGAAATTATATGACAATGGGTTACATGAAATGCACAATCATGAGAACCACAACTTTCATGGAATAAAAGTTAGACAAAGGAAACAAGACCTCACAATAACAAAATCCTCCAACAATCAAGTTTAGTCATTTGTGTGTATGCGAGATAGATAGATAGAGAGAGGGGGGGTGAGAGTAAACAGTTGATATTGTTGGAACTACCTTCTGCGTAAATTAAATAATGAAACAAATCAAACTAAATAAATAAATTACTTACCAAATTTATTTTATCGAATCAAATAAAAATTTAAAAGATCAAGTCGAGTGTGTGACACTTTGTTCTTAAGATAGATTTGTCCGGTACGGTGTTTGCTGAAAAATGACGTCTATCTCCCAAGATACAATGATTTTCACAAATTACAGTAGCACTCCAAACAATTTGTACGGCTGTGTTCTATACTCTCTTTAAAATTTCCCTAAAATAATATGATGAATATATTATGCAAGAGAGCAAAACTAGAAGGAAAGTAATGAATTTTCAGATCTTCCAAATTTGCTGGAATGCCATGGTATTTATAGGGCCAAAGGTGACTATTCAAAAATTCTGAACAGGTATGCAAACTGTCAAACAGGTACAATTATGAAACTGAACAGATAGTTTCGAATTTTGAACAAATCTGTTAACTGTAGTAGATGAAAAATCGCTGGGCAGTTTTCTTGAACTGTTTGAAAAGTTTGAACATGTTGAGATTGGACCGGTGGAGGTTTGTTTGGACTGAAAAATTTTGGCGCAAAATTACATTAATTTCGTTCTGAAATGCAAATAAATTTTGTCTAAAAAATTAATGTTAGAACCTACTCAACCCACAACCCACACCCGCGCTAGGCATGGTCAGCTGGTCGGACGGACTACGATGGTGGCAGCGCGCTCACGCGTGTATGGTGGTTTGGACTAAGGTTCATTTTGTTTATAACTTCTCCCTTCTACAAACTTAGGGTGCCCCTTGGGGTCCAACCCAAGTTAGTACACCAAGAGCTTATATACTCACAAAAGCTCTCTTAAAGTTTCAATGTGAGACAACCCATTTCAAGGAAACCCATATTTACTTTTTTAATTATCAATTTCTACGAACCCGAAAACGACGTTAACTTCCCATTCACTCATAAATGATTTTGACGAACTGTCTTCACCTTGTGACTTGCCACGCGACAAGGAACACATCACCTCTTTGGACCTACCTCAAAAGACATGTGTACCCCGGAACACATCACCTCTTTGGACCTACCTCAAAAGACATGTGTACCCCACTTAAAATTAGGCTCAAAGTTGGCCCAAAATAAGCCTATAAAAACCAAATTTCCAACAATCCCCCAAATAAATGGAATTTAACGGAGAGAAAATGCAGCAACATGATCTAATTACAGAGAGTACATAAATTGGAAATATTATGCAGAGGATAGGTAGCTTTTGGCTTTGAATCTTCCCTTGTGAGACACTATCGAATTTACTAGCTAACCAGTGAACATGATGTCTTGAACCGTTCAGCCGTTTGTGTAAACCAAGACAATAGAACTCACACAGTATATTACCAAACACAGTTTAGTTCTCACTATTGTGTTCATTTTGGCCCCGAACAATCTGGTCTTTCATGAGTGCTCTAAAAACTTGTAGCCCTTCACAAATCTCATAGAACTAGCCTAGTTCACACTCATACAGGTGATTCTTATAAAGAGTATCTTGCCATACTCCATTAGGTATTCTTAGATATAAGAATCATTAAAAGTATTACTTAACCTAAACCGCTACAGACATCACTATTTCATCATAGAAATGGGTAGGAGTTTGACTCCCCAGTGATCCTTTTGAGTCCCTTTGAATCTAGATCTTGGGATCTCCAATCAACTAGGTTGGGTTGCCATTCTGGTAACTCTTATTTAATAGGCTTAAGTCCTATTCCCCTCGATGAATTCTCAACTAGCTCTCTTGCTAACCCTTTGGTTAGTGGATCCGCTATGTTGTCTTTAGACTTCATATATTCAATGAAAATAATTCCGTAGAGAGTAGTTATCTCACGGTGTTATGTCGATGATGAATATGTCGTGACTTACCATTATACATATGACTTTGTGCTTTACTTATTGCCAATTGACTATCACAATGTATGCATATAGCAGGCACTGGTTTTGGCTACATTAGAGTATCTTTAAGGAAGTGGTGAAGCCATGCTGCTTCTTCCCCAACTTTATCTAAAGCTATGAATTTTGATTCCATAGTAGACCTAACAATGCAAGTCTGTTTTGAAGATTTCCAAGATACAGCCGCACCACCAAGAGTAATGACATACCCACTAGTGGACTAGTCTCTAATATCCGATATCCAATTTGCATCATAGTATCCTTCAAGTATTGTTGAATATCTAGTATAATTAAGCCCAATATTATGAGTAAATTGGAGATATCTTAGAACTCTTATAATTGCTTTCCAGTGTTCTACTCCTGGATTACTCGTATATCTACTCGATTTACTTACTGTATAAGCTATATCCGAGCGAGTGCAGTTCATCAAGTACATTAAGTTTCCAATAATTTGGGTATACTCTAATTGAAAAATGCTTTCATGTTTATTCTTAGAAAGAAACAAATTAACATCCACAGGTGTTCTAGCAAGATGATCATCATCTTTACTGAATTTGCCAATATTTTCTCAATGTAATGAGATTGTGACAAAGCATAACCTT